AAGCAGGAGGAGGAGGAGGAGGAGAAGGAGGAGGAGGAGGAGGAGGAGGAGGAGAAGGGAAGGGGGGGGGAGGCCAGGTTGTGCCAAGAAGCGAGCCAGCCCTTGGCAAATTGTGCATGCAGGGGGCGGCGAACCAGGGTTCCTCCGTGAAACACGCCAGCCATTCGTAGAAATCCAAGCAGGGGGCGAGCATACCTAGGGCTAGCCCCGTGTGGGAGAAAGCCCAAGCCTGTGAGCAGCGTGCGGCCTCTGTGGGCAGCCTGCTGGGGCCTCTGTGGGCAATGTGGTGGGGCCTCTGTGAGCGCGCTTGGGGCCCCTGTGGGCAGCGTGCTGGGGCCTTTGCGGGCGCGCTTGGGGCCTCTGTGGGCTGCGTCTGAGGCCTCTGTGGGCAACGTGCTGGGGCCTTTGTGGGCGCGCTTGGGGCCTCTGTGGGCAATGTCTGGGGCCTCTGTGGGCAGCGTGCTGGGGCCTCTGTGGGCGGCGTGCTGGGGCCTCTGTGCGCGCTTGGGGCCTCTGTGGGCAATGTCTGGGGCCTCTGTGGGCAGCGTGCTGGGGCCTCTGTGGGCAGCGTGCTGGGGCCTCTGTGGGCGAGCTGGGGGCCTCTGTGGGCTGTGTCCGGGGCCTCTGTGGGCAGCGTGCTGTCGCCTTTGCGGGCGCGCTTGGGGCCTCTGTGGGCGCGCATGGGGAGGCCCGCCGCCCGCCTTGATTTTTGCGAAGGGTAAGCGCATTTCTAGGAGGGGCTGGCAATATCGGGAAAGGGGCCATGGCTTTTCTTAGAACAGGCCAGCCCGACGCAAAATCTCACGCCATTGGGGAGTCCGCGCGAAACTGGCTTCCATTGGGAGCAACGTGAACCCAAGGTTCCTCCTAGAAACCAGCCAACCCTCCGCAAAGCCGCACGGACTACGAGGAAGAAGTGCGCGCGAAACCAATGTCCCAGAGGGAACAACATCGGGGGGGGCCGTACGTCCTCCAAGAAACAGACCAGCCCTGTGCAAAACAGCACGTAATGGGAACGACAGGCCCACGCTAAACCCGGCACCCGCAAGGAGCAACGTGAACCCGGGATTCCTCATTAAAAACCAGCCAGCCCTTCGCGAAAACGAGCGGAATCCGAGGAAGAACTCTGCGCGGAACCGCCCTTCCAGAGGGAAACACGTCGGGGGAGGGGGGGGGCCATAGTTCCTCTGGATAACAAACCGACCCAGCGTAAAACATCACGTAATTGAGGGGGGCCCACAGGAAACCACATGGACCCAAGGTTCCTCCTAGAACATGGCAGTCCCACGCGGAGCCGCACGGATTCCGAGGAAGAAATCCATGCGAGACCGTCCTCCCTGAGGGAGCAACGTCGGGGGGAGGAGCGCCCTGGCTCATCTGAGAAACAGCCGGCCCTTCGCAAAACCTCATGTAATTGGACCCATAGGTCCACGCGAAGGCGGCTCCCACAAGGAGCAAAGTGACCCAGGTAGCTCCGAGCAAGGATGTAGAAGGCCCCTCAGTGGGGGGCGGCGCTCGAACACCCGCCTTGGGTGAGCGATGCTCTCCAAGATCCCCCAAGAGGCTTTCCAGAGACTCCGAGGGCCAGTCAAAAGTACCCCACGGCCGAAGACACTGAAAACAGCCCCATAGGAACCCAACACCTCAACAGAAAAGAAGGGCGCCCCAAAAGAGCCCCGAGGGAGCCCCAGCACAGGCACAATATATATATATATATATATATGTGTGTGTGTGAAGGGGACGATTGTGGTATCATGCGCGATCCTCCTCCTCCTCCTCCTCCTCCTCCTCCTCCTCCACATCATCATCATCATCATCATCATCATCATCATCATCATCAGCAGCAGCAGCATCATCATCATCAAACTCCTCCTCCTCCTCCTCCTCATCATCATCATCATCATCATCGTCGTCATCGTCGTCATCAGCATCATCATCATCATCATCCATCCTCCTCATCCTCATCATCCTCCCTCCTCTCATCATCCTCATCATCATCATCATCGTCATCATCATCATCATACTCATCATCATCATCATCATCTCATCATCATCATCATCATCATCATCATCATCATCATCATCATCATCATCATCATCATCATCGTCATCGTCATCGTCATCGTCATCGTCATCGTCATCGTCATCGTCGTCATCATCATCGCTCTCATCATTATAAGCACCACCTTCATCATCAGCATTCACATCGACCACATCCTCACATCCTCCTTGTCGTGGTCATCATCCCTCTGGCTCATCATCGACATCATCACCATCATCGTCGTCGTCATCATCAAAATTACCGGACTCGCAGACCGGCACTGAACCGTTGACCCGTTGACCGGTTGATCAGCTGACCAGCTGACGGGCTGACCGGTTGACCAGCTGACCGGTTGACCGGCACGCGGAACAATTGACCGGATGACCGGCTGACCTGGTGACCAAATGACCGGATGACCGGTTGACCGACTGACCGGCTGACCGGCTGACCGGGTGACGGGGTGACCGGGTGACCGGGTGACCGGGTGACCGGGTGACCGGTTGACCGGCTGACCGGGTGACCGGGTGACCGGTTGACCGGCTGACCGGTTGACCGGGTGACCGGGTGACCGGGTGACCGGGTGACCGGGTGACCGGGTGACCGGGTGACCGGTTGACCGGTTGACCGGCTGACCGGTTGACCGGCTGACCGGTTGACCGGCTGACCGGGTGAGCTGACCGGCTGACCGGCTGACCGGTTGACCGGCTGACTGGCTGACCGGCTGACCGGCTGACCGGCTGACCGGTTGACCGGCTGACCGGCTGACCGGGGCATGTATTCCACCATAATGATCGATACTGGGCCCGGGAAGATCTGTGCACTTATGTGCGCAGTTCCCGTCGCCCCCAAAGTCTTGGTTCTGGGTGCTCGGAGGGTCTCGAAGAGCTCAGGCCAGGTCCGAGGGTAAACAAAAACGCCCCCTGGCCCTGGGCCTACCTTGACATGGGTTCTGGCCAGAATCTCTGAGGCGGATCCAGCCCCGGCGACAACAAGCCTCGAGGAAGCTTCAAAAAGGCAGAAAGCGCGAACGAAAACCTCGAGCCTCAGGCCGACCCGCTTGTCATCGGCGCCCACCGCGGCAGCAACATTGACAACCAGCCGAGAGCACAGCCTGCAAGGACGCGGCGGCGCAGCAGCCGACCGAACCGAATCGACCGTACGCAGCCGACTGCGAAGCAGCCAAGCCGACCGAACCGCGGACACCCCGTATTCGGCTACTTTTTGGTCTGCGGGTCGAGAGCGGGCCTCTTCCGGTTAAGAGCTAGGCGGGGCGCGCAAAGCACTAATAGGGGAGACAAGGCGTGGGCGGGCGGGGCCTCAGGCGGCCGGAGGGCGCGGGGTGCAGGCGGTGCCGAACCGCGGACACCCCGTATTCGGCTACACGCGAGGGTGACCCTAGGCAAGAGTGTCACACAAATCATTCTGGCGAGAGGCTGCTCGGCTTTCAAGGCATAGCCCGGGTCTCCAGCAGCCGTTCGGGACACTGAGGCCACCCAGGGGAACTCCCTCTGCGAGGAGCAGCCGCTGGAACGCGCTCTGAGGCAGTGAAGATCCAGGAACCGACGCTGGAACGCCCAGAAACGGGCGGCCGAAGCACCCACAGGATCGCTCGCCGTACAGTCAACCCGTACAATAAGGATGCGCGATAAGGATGCAAGGGCCTTAGAAGCCCATTTCGAAGCTTTTCGAGCGGGGCGCGGCCAACGAAGATGGCCAAGGATGGACCGAGAAGGCAAGGATGCAAGGGTTCCCTTGGAAAGGTTAACCATCCTTACTAATTATGCGGGTTGACTGTATACGCGAAGCCGCATTGCCCGAACATCCAGTGTCTGGATTCGTTTGGTGCGGAATTCCCCGGAGTCCCGACCCCCCTCCAGGACCCGCTCCTGATCCCGAGTCGTCGGGTCTCTGGCGGCCGCTCGGGAAGATCCGAGCACCCCCAGAGCGCTCTCGGCGAGCCGCACCTGCCAGAGAGCGCCCCGAGGCCAGGAACCCTCCGAGAACCGACCTTCGAGCCTCCGACCTCAAGCCTCGAACCTCCGACCTCGAGACTCGAGCCTCGTCCGGCCCGTTTTTGCCAGCGCGCTGGAGGTCTGCGTGGGCGCCGAGGCCGTCCACGGCGGCGGCAATAAATCTGACCGAGCCGACAGCAAGGCCGAAGCCGACCGAAATCGACAGGTCGCAAGCAGCACAAAGGGCGCAACGACGCGGCAACGACACAACGACTGACCGCATCGAGCCGACCGAACGCAGCCGACTGCGATGCAGCCGAACCGACCGAATCGCGACCACCCTTGAACACGTTGGAGGTCTGAGTGTGCGCGCCGCCACGCCTCAGATCCACGTACAGGCCCTCCCACCGCGGTGCCCTGTTGGAGCCGTCTCGGGCAGTCTTGGAGCGATCTCGTGGGCATCCTTGGGTATCCTTGGGTGTCCTGAAGCATTGAAGCCCGACGCCGTGAGAACGCTAAGCTCGCTCAAAAATGCAGAGACAATCGATGATTTTGATCCTGCTGGGGCCTCGGATCCGCGTACCTCTCCTGACCTGAAATTCGACCCCCAGACCTCTTCTGAGGTGCGTCCTGGCCAGAATCCCAAGGCCAACCCAGCCGTGGCGACTGGGAGGCCCAGAAGATATACCAAACGCGCCCAAAAACCTGAATCCTCGTTCCTCGATCCGATCCGACCCGATCCTCGTTCCCAGACGGTCTGGGAACGAGGATCGGGGGGTCTGGAGGCGACGTCGGGGGTCTGGGCCAGACCCCCGACGTCGTGATTTTTTCACAACGTCGACCCCCAGCGGTCAGGACCCTTCCCCCGGGACCGGCTTTGCATCCTGAGCCGTTTTTTGACGGTCCCGAGGCCCGGGAAGGGCCCCCGGAGGCCGAAAACAGCGAAAAACCTCCCGTCGTGATTTTTTCACGACGCGAGGGGGTCTGCGTTTCCCGCGCCGCCGCGCCTCGGATCCGCGTACCGGCCTTCCCACCGCGGGCCCTCGGCCAGCGCCGGGGCTGCGGGGGCCCACGGGGCGGCCAGCAGGCCCAGCAGGGTCGCACGCCGGGGCGCGGCGGGCCGCGGTGCCTCCACGGCTGACGGCGTGGACGATGCCCACGACGCCGCCGCCGCCGACGACGACGTCGACGACGACGACGACGAGGAGGAGGAGGAGGAGGAGGAGGAGGAGGAGGAGGAGGAGGAGGGGGAGGAGGAGGAGGAGGAGGAGGAGGAGGAGGATCCCACGCCACTGAAGGGCGCTCGTCTTGTCTAGGCCGCGCCGGCTGCGCCGCCGCCGCCGTCGGCCCCCGCGGGGCCATTCCTCAGGTCCGCGACCTCAATGAGCACCTGGTTGGAGTTGCTGGTGTGGGTGGCCGTGTTCGTATCGCCGACCAACCCCACAGCGTGCACATCCACAGGTGAGTCCTCCACGGTAGGCACCGATGAAGACCCAACAAGACCAGGGCCAACATCCATGGACTCCACCTCACCCACATCACGACGGCCATGGTCATCTTCTTCTTGTTGTTGCCCTTGTTGTTGCATCATGCGGAACTTGAACCCGCCCAGCACTCCCATGGTCCACATCACCGTCAGAGACATCACTGAGCCCAGCATATTCCACTTGAAGCTCAGCGTCACAATCTAGTGGTACTTGGACACAACCACCACTCCCACGTTCCACATCTTCACACGGAGGAAACACACCATCACCTGGAAGAGTCACTGGACCTTCACCAGCTTCTCCTTCATGAGGAACACCATCTTCATGTTGTTGTTGCCCTTGTTGTGGCCGTCGCTGCGGCTCAGCTTCTCCTTCGTGCGGTACTTGGACCCAACCAGCACTCCCAAGGTCCACACCACCATCAGCATCGCCAAGGTGCCCAGCATCTTCCACTTGACGCTCGGTGTCGCCTGCAAGTTGTACTTGGACACGACCACCACTCTCACGTCCCCCATCTTCGCGAGGAGGAAGCACACCATCATCTGGAAGATTCACATGACCTTCACCAGCTTCCCCTTCCTGAGGAACACCATCTTCTTGTTGTTGTTGTCCTTGTTGTAGCCGTCCTTGTTGCTCAGCTTCTCCATCGTGCGGTACTTGGACCCGCTCAGCACTCCCATGGTCCACGCCACCATCAGCATCGCCATGGTGCCCAGCATCTTCCACTTGAAACTCGGCGTCGCCTGCAAGTGGTACTTGGACACGACCGCAGCTCTCACGCCCCCCATCATCGCGAGGAGGAAGCACACCATCCTCTGGAATAGTCACAGGACCTTTACCAGCTTCACCTTCCTGAGGAACACCATCTCCATGTTCTTGTTGTCCTTGTTGTGGCCGTCCTTGTGGCTCAGCTTCTCCTTCTTGCGGAATTTGGACCCGCCCAGCTTTCCCAAGGTCCGCGCAACCATCAGCATCGCCAAGTTGCCCAGCATCTTCCACTTGAAGCTCGGCGTCGCCTGCACATGGTACTTGGACACGACCACCGCTCTCGCGTCCCCCATCTTCGCGAGGAGGAAGCACACCATCATCTGGAAGAGTCACAGGACCTTCACCAGCTTCACCTTCCTGAGGAACACCATCTTCTTGTTGTCGTTGTCCTTGCAGTAGCCGTCCTTGTTGCTCAGCTTCTCCATCGCGCAGTACTTGGACCCGTTCAGCTCCCCCCTGGTCCACACCACCAACAGAAACACCATGGCGTCCAGCATCTTCTGCTTGAAGCTCAGCGTCACCTGCAAATTGAACTTGGATACGACCACCACTCTCACGCTCTGCATCTTCGCAAGGAGGACGCACACCATCACCTGGAGGAGTCACCTGGCCTTCACCAGCTTCATCTTCAGGAGGAACAACACTACTAGGCAGATCAACTGCGGCACCGCTCTCATCGAGAACACCATCAACCTCGAGCGGTCCCACCTCGCCGACCAAGGGGCGACTACCACCCCCGCCAGGGCCAACGTCGTCCACTTATTATTCATCCTCTTCTTCCGCTCCAGCATAAGGATGAAAGAGATCATGGCCTTCAATGGCAGGGAGAAGAAACGCAGCAGGGTGGCGAAGCATCCAGTCAATATCGTAGAACTTGTCCCTCGTTAGCCTGGGAAATACATTGTAAAGTAGCCGCAGAGCTTGCAAAATTTGAAGTCCCGACAGATCAGCAAATGTCACCAGATTGTCCTGCCAATGCCCAGGCGGTCGTTCAGATAGAGGAGCCAGCGAAAACGATGACCAACACAATGTAGCTGCAACGCCATACAACATGTTAGGATTAACGGGCAAGATCGTGGGAACCACAATGCTGACTGCATGAACCGTGTTGGGCTCTAGCATGTCCCAATCCACCTCACCAAAATTGTAAGAGAGCTATCCGCCCTGTTCACCCAGTACGACTGCAGCCCCCCCCCCCCCCCCCCCCCAGCAGCAAGCGAGCGTTGAATAGCGAGAACTTGCTGTCTGAGCTCGACTTGATCCCTTGGTTCGCGACCGCGGAGACCTATGACAGCAAGACCCAGCGCAGCATGCCCTTCAGCTCCCCCAGCCTGCACGGGGTCCGTCTCTGCCGCTTGATAGGGGGCCGCATGACCCACAGACGCATCCGCAAGCGGAACCTGCTGCCTTGTAATGTCCGCTTGCCCTGAGTGGACAGCATCATGAGAAGATGAACTTGAAGGCGAACTTGAACTTGATAAGCATATGCAAGTAGGCCCAATACTGAGCTGAGGTGGTTCTTGAGCGGGAGCAGTGTGTACCAGAGCCGCTGCCGCAGAGTCTTGAACCACTTGTGGACCACCAGGAACAACATCCATCTGCGCGCCATTATCAAGACTGTCATCTGATCCAGGACCACGCTCTGGCGCCACTGTCTGGGCCAGGACCTCCGCGTGCACATCCTCCTGATCAGATTCCGATTCGGGACACAACAGCGCGAGCCTTTCGTCCTGTGGTAGGTCCTCAATCATGTCGTGAGGTGCGTCACCATCCGCTGCCAGCATCAGCTCGTCGAAGTCCGTAGAGGCGCCATCATCGAAGACCACATCCAGGTCGAGAGTAGGAGAACCAGTCTCCTCACCAGTACCTTCCAAGAGCGCAGACGGATGGGAGAGCAACCAGACAACCAACTCCCTGTGCTCCTCTGACATAACATAGTTCGCATCCAAGTAGTCGATTGCCCGCTGGAGTTGGTCCGCCGATAAAGGCTCTTCACCTCTCTGCCCATGAGAACCTTGCACGCCAGATGCGGCCAACACAATGTAGACAAACGAGCTGGCCGAGCGTAGTGCGGGAAGCCTCTCAGAATCATCTCCACGACCAGGAGACCGAACGCTCTCATCAGCAGGCAGATCAGACGGCATAGCTGCCGATGATGGTTGTGACGACGTCTGCGAAGGATGCCCTACCGCACTTGATGCCACCCCGTCGCCAGAAGCTAACGCACCACCCACCGTCCCATCAGGGTAAATCACCCCAAACCCATGTTCAGCCATCAGCCGATCGAAATTGCTGTCAGACGAGCTGGAGTCAGACACAAGATCTTGCCCAAGGGGCGAGGTTGGTTCCGCCTGTGGCAGCCCCTCGCCATGCGCAGGTCGGGGCACCGCTGACGACGCAGCAGAAGGATCCCGAACAGAGGAGTGATGCCCTTCGCGAGATCTCCGAGCCACTTCTTGTACTTGTCGTTCAAATTCTTCGTCAGTGAGGATGGGGCCAAAATGGTAAGAAACATTCAGCAGCGGTCATCTCGGCATCATCGTGACCACCTGATGGTGGAGTCTCCACTTCACCCGTGCTCGAATTGCATCCACGTTCTGCCATCATCTCAAGATCCACGTCCGTAGGCATCGGTAGGCCGTCCCCATCCACGATGTTGTTGGAGTCGTTAGGAAAGGGGTCGCCATTCTCAAAGGTGCCCACCACTGCACCAAACCGAGGCACACGTTGACTGCATAGACAAGGAAGTAGCGCAGGAAGCACTGCGGGGGGGCGGGCCGCCCGCGCCTGCTCAAAGCGGTGACGCTCCTCTGGCAGCATGCGAGATGCATTGGCTAGCCAGCCCAATTGCCGTAGGTGTTGTATGCCACGCCACCGTAACTGATTGATCCTCGAGTTGTTGCGAGCCGGCCATTGTTCGGAGAGAGAGAGAGAGAGAGACGTAATGCTTCCCTAGTCTGGGCGCCGTCGTACCACCCACGAAGACAAATTTCAGCGGCAACCTCCCAGCGCACAGGTTGATCAGAGGCGACACCCGCAGGGCAGCGCAGCAGGTCACGAAACCCGCGATACCTCAATACATCCGAAACATACTCCACACACCAGTCCATCCATTGTTGGAAATCACTACCTGTCGAGTCGCCCACGAGAGAAGGAACCCATTGCTGCGCCCAAGCTGCAACCCGATCAACCAGAGCACGATGCATCGCATGGGCCTGACGGCGGTCAGCAGGCAATGTCGGATGACCAGCACGTTGAAAAGGCACAGTCCCAGCGACCAAACTCGACGTGCACCTTGACGAGGCAGGGACTGTGTCCACTCGCTCCCAGGAAGAAGTCTCCAGAACTCGTTGCATGGGATTCCATTGTCTCAGAAGCATAGGCTCATGCCCACGATGTTCGATGGCCATTTGTCGAAGTCCTTCGTTGTCCCAGGGCCCTGTCAAATGCCTCAATAGCCGCTCCCTGGAGTGCACCGTGTTGCGCCAAGATACATGAGCAATGCAGACCCCAAGTTCATAACGGCACCAATGATCCGCCTGCGGCTCAGGAAACACACCCTGGAAGATCCTGAACTCCGATATGCAAGCAACCTGATTCGAACACCACACCATCCAGTCGTCGAAGTCCGATCGCGTGACGTCCTGCATGAAGACAGAGGGTATCCAGTTACGCGCCCACGATGCAGAACGACGCTCAAGCGCAGCAAGAAGACTCTCCATGCCATGGTAGACCCCAGTTAGAGGCGGGAGACCAAATTGGCGTTCCCCGACAGCTTGTGGGTAGCGAACACGATGAGGCAACCGATCATGAAGTATAGCCTGACCTATCGGGAGTACCCTAAGGAGCGCATCAGGTAGCGGCAGTTCACCGA